TGTTTTTGTTGTTTTTGACTATTTAAATTCTGCAGATTATTTTTTATTGATTGAATTGTATTAGAATTGATGATTTTACATAGAAAAATACAAAATTAAATAGTTTCTTAATTTGTGTGTAAAAACTTTTAAAATCAAGTAATATGAAACGAGTATTGTTTTAATTGTTCAACAATTAAATCTATTTCCTTGGCTTAAGATGTGCTATATCCGTATTTACTACACCAGGTTGGAGTCCCAAATAATTAAATTTTATCCCGATAACTAATCCATTTGTTTTTTTATAATTCATTAATTATTAGCTATTGATAGTTACAGAGTTTTTATTTCAAAAAAAAAAAGATAGTTACAGAGTTCTCAGGTTTTGTATCCATTTGATTTGATTAATCATCGATCAAATTTTTATAATAAACAAATTTGTTATCTTGAATTGATCAAATTGAAGTTCTTAAATAATTTCATGTTCACGTTGGAAGTTTTTTTAACAATAATTATTACCTTTTCAAAAATAATCACTACTATACTTGGTTCCATGTTCCCTTCATGATTCTCAACACATTTCGGTTAAAATATGAACAAACCGTTACCGTGCCAGGTGTACTAAATACCAATTTACACATACCAAATTTGAGTTTCAGTTTCTTTATAATTCGGCGCTTAATTCGGCAATTTACACATACCAATTTACACATACCAAATCTCATTGACTAACGTAATATAACTGTTTGTCAATTGTTCTGTTTGGTCAAGTGTTACGTTTTTTTTTAAAAATAATAACTACTTTCTAGTATTTCAGGTATGTCAAAAGTTACCTTTTTTTAATAACCACTATATAGTTACCATTGAAAAGTTACAACTCTTCAAATTAATTTAAATGGCATAAAAATTCATGAATTGTTCTATTGATAAGACTAATAGTGAGAAAGAAAAAAAGTTTTTTTTTGTGGGCCAAGGGTTGCGTTTTTACCATATGCGGGAGTTGCGTTTTTTATATAACCGCTTTATAGTTATTTAAGTTTGTGTCTTTTCGCAAATAACCATTTAATGATTACTTCTAAGGGACGAGTCTTTTTTATATAACCTTTTTTTAAGAGTTGTGTGTTTCGATATAACCGTATAATGGCTATTTCCAAATATTGCATCTACTATATAGATAACTGATTTCTGGTTGTGTCATTTTGAAAATAACCGCTTTGTAGTTATTTCCAAAAACTGCATCTTTTCGGAAAACTTAGTTTATTGGTTATTTTCAAAGATTGCATCTTTTCAACATAACCGCTTTATAATTATTTCTAAGGGTTGCTTTTTTTATATATATAACCAATTTTTCAAAAGTTTTTTTTTATATAACCGGTTTCTCGAAAGTTGCCTTTTTTATATAACCGCTTTATGGTTATTTAAGATTGTGTCCTTTAGAAAAAAACCGTTTTACGGTTATTTCCAAGGGTTGTGTATTTTTGATAGAACCGCTTTCTAATTATCTCCAAATGCTGCTTATGGTTGTGTTCTTTAGAAAATAATCATTTTATGGTTCTTTCCAAATATTGCGTTTTTCAATATAACCACTTTATGGTTATTTCCAAGGGCTGCGCATTTTCAATATAACTGCTTTATGGTTGTGTATTTTCAAGATATACCATTTATGGCTGTTAATGCTAGGGTTGAGTCTCTTCAAGATATACTATTTATGGTTATTAGTTTTTTGGGTTGTGTTATATCGAAAAAACGTTTTATGGTTTTTAATTAATCATATAGTTGTGTCTTTTTGAATAACTCGTTTAT